ATGACCGGAGTTTCTGCGGACACGCGCATCTATCGCGCAAAGCAGTCTCGGCAACGTACCAGAGATATTTCCCAGGAGGTTGACGACGAGCGTGCCCGACTGACGTGACGAAGATCCATACAATTACGCAGACGTAACATCAACCACCATAATTTATATGCGCGACGGACAGACCGCGACAATGAGACGACACGAAAAAAGGGAGAGACGATCCGTCGTCGTCTAAAAGAAGTACTCGCTCGCGATCGAGAGTGACAGCACGTCGTAATTTACGATGGAAAACTGCAAAAGACTCGCTGAAATCTTTATCCGCTGCGACATCACCTGACTTTTTCTTCACTGACCACCGGAGATCTTTACGTTTCATTGTACAAAAAAAAACCGCACATACACACAAAGTGATCGCCATCGTCGGTCTCCATTCACGTAAAGATACCTGTCTATTGTGTACCTTTGCGTGAACACAATTCGAAACTAAGGAATGTCACGTTTAGATTTTTCAATGGCGAAAACGTGTAATTCTAAAAGAACACAATTCTAAAACTGAATACGTAATAATATACCGACTATTCGCTAACTAAATTATTACCTACGATTTTTCTATAAAAAAAAATAATAAAAGTATGTCGTAAAATTTAAGTGCTAAAGTTGCTTTGTGAGCTCTGCTCTGGAAAGTTTCGTGATCTTTTCAATAGTTACCAAGTTATAATGCCTTGAACTAATTCATGTATTTCTTTCTGTCAATGTTGTGAAAATTACTGTGACGTGCAAATCGATCAAGTCCATATATTCAACAGAATTGATTAAATTGCAATAGCTAAACGCAAACTTGCTGTAGATTACGAAGTAATATATAGAAGACCTAGAGACCCTATAAATATAACCAAAATATACGCTAAGAGTTACGTGATCGTGATATTTACTAATTGAATGAAATTAGATTCTATTCTTGTTTCATATCTAATGAACGATAAAGATAGAATGACACAAAAATTAACTTGTCATTTATTAGATGAAAACACAAGAATAGAATATAAATTTCACTCTGGAAAATCTCACTCACTATCATATGACTCTTGGCACATCTGTTACGTTATATTTCTATTTAAACTATAATTTAGAATTAACCTCTTGACTCGATGATATTGTAAAAATGGTGGGTTTTTCTTTCCAGCAAAAGAAACAGATAACATAGTTTATAACACAATGAATCATTACATCCTTGTTTCGCACTGTTAAATGAGATGGTCACTGTGTTACATGAAGCCTTTTGCACCGCATGTTTTTCTAGCTGTGATTAATCAAAATTGATGGTTTGTAGTGACAACTTAAAAATTTACTTTGTTACAAAATCATCAGTTTAGTAATGAATTGGACTGTCCATTATTGTGAAGGACAATTTAGTTCAGGAACTAATCGGTGCGCGTTTGGTTATTGCTCAATCTCCATCCATTCCATGTGTCGATGAAATTCACGTATTCAGGTTTCAAGTTTAGTTTATACCATAGATAGAAAGGAACACATGTCTGGGCAGAAGCAGGTATCGCGTCCAAGATGCGAGGCTAAAAATGGCTGGAAAGTGAACGTCGCAACGGTACTTGTCTATAAGCCTTTCTCTCTCTTTTCACACACACACACACCACACACACACACACACGAGAGCTCACGCATACTTTATAAATCATATCGGCGAGCGAAACGACGGCGCTTGTAAAGTGGAAGGACAAGATGAGGAGAAGAAAAAAGGAGACGGACGACGGCGGCGTTTCGCAGCGACTCGATGAAACCGGACCGCGGTGAGAAGGAAGGAGATGAGAGGGGAAGACGGAAAAGGAGAAGAAAGAGAGACGTCGCGCGATGGCGACCTCGTCGCGGAGAGTCGAATCATAAATGAACGATCGAAACGAAAAGGAGAAAAATATTCGAGAAGGAAGAGATAGAGGGAAGAAGCTGTCTCTTCTCTCGAGTCTCCTTTCGCTGCAATTTGTACGACAGGTAACGGCGAAGAATCCGGCCAAGAGTCCGGCCGAGGTCGAGAGAGCAATTTTGAGAAAAGTGATCGCGGGATACGATGAATCGACCTTGGCTTGCCAGGTACCTTTTCCTTTTCCTATATACGGTTTGCACAAAGGCTATAGTCGCGGCGTATTGTTAGCGGAGGACTCTTTTCAAGGAAGGTGCGCTCACACACCATGACCCTTCCTGAGCGCTTAACAGGTGCACGAAACGGACAGTTTGGTTGGTTGGGTGCTTGGCTCGGAAGATCTTCCTGGACATCGTTGTCGAGAGAACCCGAGAATGTGTGAGAGGATTTCTCGCATTCCCAGACATAAAAAATGCAATAAAAATTATGCAAAATATCTTGAATAAAATTGTGAATAATTTTTGTAAAAAAAAAAAAAAAGAATAGACTGATCTGCAACGTACGTTATTTGAGTATTTGTCAAGATTGCAGAAATATCATTGCTCCTCTTCATCCTTTCTCTTGTCGTTCTCCTCTCTTGATGTAATCAATAATTTTTTAAAATTAGCATCGTTAAATATCCATTAAGTCGAAGCGAGGCACATATTATAGAACTGTTCGGAATGGATTCCGATCGGAATTATTCCATTTTCCTTAGAAAACATAATAGAAATCTAAGGAATAATTGAACAATTCTGATCGGAATCCATTCTGAACACTTCTATAATGCAAACTCTGAAGAAATATTTAAATAGTTATAATTAAATAGTTTCCAAGTAATACTAAAAATTTTCAGAAAGGTAAAAGCAGTACTAAAAGTAAAATTTCTACTGCTAAGTAACTATAATACACATTAACCCCACATATTTAAGAGATTAAAATTACATTTGCTTAAATGAGGATACTCTAAATTAACATAAACATGATACAAAGTATGCAAAATTAATAAATGTAATGCACTTACAAGTATTCGCGGTGCCACAAAAATAGATGTATATACATAAAACATGAAAATAACAACTTTTAGATTTTTCTGTCGTTTAAAATATCAAGCCCAGTTTTTCATTTGCTAATTGTGATTAGTTAAGTTTAACCTGATGACAATGTAAATGTAAAAGTTGTATTTTTCTATTCATAATTAATCACTAATTTAATAATTTCGTAATAATTTTTAAAATTTTATCACTACAAAATCACTAATAATTATAATCAAATTTAGAAAAACGCGATATCTACATTATCCTTAAATTATAAGAACTTTGCTATGGTAAAAGATTGATTTCCGAGATGGTTAATCAAAAAACAAAAAACCAATCTTAATCTCCAAACATACAGAAGGCCTCCATAAATAATACATTCCGATTATAAACAATATATTATTTTACAGTACCAACGAACATTAAAATAATATTATTACGCAATCGTGTAGTTCTCAAAATTTGATATCGTTTAAATTTGTATAATAATTGACTTCTTAAATTTGTGACAAAAAAATATCGGATTACCATCGACGACACAATTAGACTTAAATATCACTTTTCAATTTTCCACACGACTGAATATTAGGTTTTCTAATGTAATTTTCATCGCCATCTTATTAATATAAAATTAAACTCGATATTGCGAGAAATATCATGAATGCTGTCGGGTGAAGTTATTTATAAAGAAAACGAATTTGCTTACAATTAGACATATATAAAGAAATTTTATTTTTAATTTTTTTATACCGTTTCAAACTAGATTATCGATTCTGCCAACAATTGATTGACCAATCCTTTGTCAGCGAATTTGTTCTCTTGGAGAGTCACTCATTTGGCATCGCAACATACATTTGCAACTCCATCGTCAATGAAATATCATGGTTTTCATTTATATCTTGATGAAGGTTTAATCCAGAAGCCGAAATATGTTATGTATTCTTTTTAATTTTATTCAATGGTATTTTTAATTTCACATTTCATATATAAATTAATTTATTTATTTATATAAACGACTCTCGTAATTGCCCTCTACATTTTTCTAATTGTTAGTGTTTTAAATTATAAATGAAATTAATAGCATTTTCCATTAGAAAAACTAGTGCAGCACTGGTACACTCTGAGCACAATTAATTTAATTTATATTATATATTTTCAGAGTGTTAATAAATTATTTTAATTAAATAATTTTTATTTAATTAACGATAATCTCATAATCTTAAGAGGATTAAATTACTCATTGACCTGACCCACTGAAAATGTGTGAATTAATTTACACTCAGTGTGTACTAGTGCTGCACTAGTTTTCCTAGTGGAAAATACCAGAGATTTAAACCACCGAGTTCAATCAGACAAAAAACTGGTCTTACACGATCTTAAAACTTCTCGAGACATATGATTCACGTTAACTGCGAATTTGCCAACGCTAATGATTCATCACTGACCAATTCACCCGCTTCCGTTCGACACAGTGCAAACGAGCGCAATTACCCAGGAATGACGAAACGCAGCATTACAAACCTGGGGTACAGGAAAGTCGCGTCGAACGCGGAATTTTGCGGGAACGTGCACCACCACCGCCGCCTCCTCCACCTCGGTGCGGAGCAAAAAGACCGTCGTGAAATTAAACCGGGGCCGCCACACTCGACGGTTGACGGTTAGCGGCCGTTTCGAATTCGAACGAACGCGCGTCGCAATTCGCGCGATGCTGTTGAAACGAAGGTCGGGCGGCGGTGGTGCGACGCGCGCCACTTCAAACTCAAATTCGAATTTGCACGAGCTCGAAAAGTTGGAAAAGAAATTCACATCGGATTCCAGAGGCGCGGCGCGGCGCGGTGCGACGGTTAAACCACCTGCTGAGTGCACTCTCGCGTGCTTACTCGTTCTCTCTCTCACTCTCACCTTCCTCTCTCTCGCGCGTTTCCTACACCGAGGTGCGGCGAACGATACACCGCACGAAGCGGTCCCGTGGGAAACCATGTGCGAGATTCCACCGACAGAAGAGATTCCTGTGTACGTTTATCGTGCGGTGAACAGGTGAATTATACTTTCGCGCTTACCTGTTAGGTGCAACAGCAAAACGGCGATCGCTACGCAGGTGGGACGCACGCGACAGGCTGCCATCGTGATCGCGCGCTGCCTATCTTCACTCTCTTCACGCAGGAAGACAAAAGTCCTCTCTCGTTCCTCCACCAACACCCTTTCTCTCTTTCGCTCTCTTTATTTCTCTTCGTGCCGTTTTAACGTTCACTGACACCACCCGCGACCGCGTACCTCGAAACCACCTCGAACCTCACGATCGATCGGGATCGAGCGATCAAGCGGCGCGACGCATTCGAACGATTCTACAACCGACCACGATGGAACGTCGCGACGTCGCGCTGGCCTATCTCGAACTGTGGCGGGGAGCGCCGCTTACGCGCTCGGCAGGACCTTCGGCCGCGCTCGGCCGTCCCCGTCGCTCACGTGACTCCGTCGGCACGCAGGTACGCCGATCGCCGAAGAGGGGAAGACGATAACCGTTTCGCGCGCGCGACGAACGTCCGAAGCATGATTTTTCTCTCACAGTGGAGATCGCGCAGGTAGGAGTATACTTTGTTTTCTTTTCCTTCAAATTTCGACATTGGGAATCCACGAATGTTTGTTGATTTCTACTCTATTTTCCTTAACCGAGCCGTTCTCTCTGCGACTACAGGGACGAGTATATTTCAATAAATCGTATTAAAATTCGCGTCGGACTCGGTAAAAAAAATTCTGCGGATTAAATAGAAAATGGCGAATCGCGAAAGTGTCACCCGCCGGCGCGATTATTCTTCAAGTATTATTCGAGTTGAGAATTAAATTGCGCGCGCACGAAGCGTATGCCATTTATTACTTTAGATTAAGGATTAAACCACGCGTTAGTTGTACATTTTTCACACGTATACGGGCCCAATATTGGGCGCGCGGTACCCTCCATATATCGACTTTTCCTAGATCGACCATTTATCTTCTCTCGTATACGGACGTCGTTGCATCGTACGCTCGTAAACACGCGGGCGTAACACTTTCCCAAACGAATATAAATCTCCCGGCGGCGAGGGATTTTTGTTTATAGGATATATACAGCAATCTTGTTTTCGGAATTTGTTTCGCTCTATGCTCTGCCCGCATATGTAAAAATCTGCGATTTATGGCAGAGGCTTATCCAGTCGCTGGTGTATAATACACACGCATAGCGCGTGTACGTAACAGGGTGTCGATGCAATATATGTTATAGTGATAAAAAATGAACAGTATCTAATCTCTGTTTGGCAGAACAACGCGGAGCATTAAGATTGATAGACCTGAGATTGAATAACTGTTGGCTCATTAATCCCGGAGGAATAAGGTAGATTAATTCTTCGACTGCAATCTTTTTTTACGAAATATTTTTCGCACAAGCGAAATTTCACTCTCAATTTTTCTCAAATTTCAATTGTTATTAAATAAAGATTTGTATTTAAAAAACTATTTGATAATGTAATATACAGAAAGAACGACTTTGTCGAAGTATCTAAAAATTTTGGTAGACAAAGGTCTGAAAATCATTTTGTTCGATTATGAAAATAATTACAAAATAATTGTGCTGAACGTTCAAGCTGATTAGTAAAATGTCAAAATTTTTTGGAATATTTTGTCATCATGCTTCAACGATCTGCATAATTATTTTCAAATCTGTATCTAGCTAAATTTTTAGATACTTTAACAAATAACCGTTCTTTCGGTATAGAGAGGTTAAAAAGTAATTTTGAATTTTTTTTTAAAGTCTAGATAAAAATACTTATATAGCCTGAATAAAAAGGATCTAGATTATAAAGGGAGGAAATGAAAATATGATTATAGACGGAAAATAAAGAAAAATTATTACGAAAAGAACGATTCTACTAAAATTTCTAAAAATTTAGCTAAACACGAATCTGAAAATAATTTTGTTAATCATCGAAATAATCATGTAAGAATCTTGATTTGAGTAATGTTGTAAAAAGTTTAACGTTTTAATAACAAATTTAAGCGGCCTACATAATTATTATATTTTGATAGTCCAACGAAATTATTTTCAAATCTAACTAAATTTTTAGATATTCCAGCAAATTGTCGTTTTCATGTACAAAGGGAAATGAAATGTAATCTAATATTAACTCTATTATAGTCCGAATGATGATTCAATTTAGATTAACATTTAATAATATTGTAGCGCGAATTAATTCCCGGAACTCAATGCGTGCGAATAATACGTTACCCCTCTTTCGTCATTATTATGTCACGTGCCTTGAACGTCGTCGTTTAACGAATCCCTCCTCGCCGTCGCGAGATTTATGATACGCACGGCGAGGAACTTTCCTTGCGTACCCAATCACCGTCATCGTCGTCTTCAACTAAGATTTTGAAGATTGATAGCGTATCTGTATCATATGCTGTAAATTCACGCAAATATTGCCATGGCGTTAATGATACGCCCGTAATTACGACTCTTGTGTATACAATTACTCGGAAAGCTTACGACGCGCGAACGATGCGGCTTATTTCCAAGTTTACACGGAGACGCGCTCTGATGGAAATAGGCAGAAAATCGAGCTGGTATTCTGCCGGAGGAGGGACGATCTCATATCTCAGAGAGGAAAGGTCTGAATTCAGTTAAAAGTATTATGTAGCAATTATCGCGCGATCATAAATAATTGTCAAACAGAATTCCCCATTCGAAAAATACTTTATTGAGAGCAAATTTATTATTGTATTTACTATACCTTCATTTGTGTTACGTCATTAAAATCCATTTAGTTGTGCTAGATCGATCCACGCAAAACGGTCCACGATTCATCCCGTTACAAGTGACGTCACAACTCGAAGGATGCTGCTCCGATACAGCTTCGAGTGTCTCCCTCCCCTTTTATTTCGAGAAGTATACAAACTCCATCAACGGTTACGACCTTCTCTCCTCGTCCTTCGTCCTCAAGAGGATCGTCCTTTTTTTCAAATAAACCCTCGCGTGCTTCACGCGGATTTGGACCCTTGGTTGGTCTTTCGTGACGTGAAGAAACACGTGGTTTTATGATGATCCTGAAAGACGAAGAAAAAAGAGGTGCAGACAGTGGGCGCCTCGCTTGTTTATCATTTGTCAGCCGTCTATTTGCACCAAGCTAAAATCTTGTGGACAGGGAATGGTCTTATACCATCTTTCTCCTGTAACGTCAAGTCGAGTGGTGACATTCGCCTCTGTGACGTCTATCGTACTGATCGATCATCCGATAATAAAAAAGACTGTGGCTCGTTAGGGGGACAATTGACGCGATTAAGTCGAAAATTGAACACCATTTTTATTGAATTCCTAGGGGAAGGAGGGAATAGAACTGTAATGAGAGCATTATTATATTGCAAACATAATTGTGTGCCATAAGCTCTCGTTTTCCGAGTATAATTATATATAGGAGAGGCATAATTACGGATCTATCGTTAATGCCATGGCAACATTTGCATGAATTTATAGCAAAGGTCGATTAATCTTCAATTATTGCCGCATGAAAGGTCATGCAGAATTAATTAAATATTATCCACTATTATCCGCCATTATTTTAAAGTTTGTATCTCCAGCATTGTTTACAATTCATTAGTTAGAAAGTTAACGCGCTTCTTGCACGACTAATTCGTCCGAAGCAAAACGAGCCGCGTCTGTTAAGATGATAGATCGTGATTCTCGCACGACGCCCGCTGAAACACAACGTTAAGGGTTTTATCGTCTTAAAGCTGCCCTAGAAAATCCGTCACGCTATTTACTGGTTTTCTGACGGCTTAGCAAGCATCGAAAGTGGATCTCATTTCACCAAAGTGCACAACTCTTTCCATAACGAGGGATATTCTGCGCCACCGCTCTTTTAATAACAAAATTAAGTAGCAACTTAATAACTTATTTAATAATTCGTAAAACTTTAAAATATCCTCATAATACAGTTTATTTCCGAGTTCCAGGATTTTAAAAAAAACTTGATAAAAGAATAGAAGATGATTTTTTAAATTAATTTCTGTTTACGATGTTAAGTCAAAATCTTTTCAAAAACCTTTTTACATATTGTTATATATTTTTTAATCGATATACAATTATTGGATACTTCAAATTAGGTATAATCTAGGCAGTTCTAAAAAGAGTTGTCGAAAAAAGAAAAATATACTGATAATTTTAATTATTTTTGTATTTTATTTTTATGATAAAGTATAATGAGGAAACATATAATACAAAAATGTTTTTTAATGACTTCATATGAATTCATGTGTTTTCTTGAAATCAATTTGTTAACAAATCGTCCAATTACGTGTCCGCTGCTTCCTGATTGTCTCGTTTAATCTTCCATTGCCGCGTTGCACCGACAGGGACTAATAAATACTTTTAGTGGATCATCAATTCCCGTATACCTTGGGACTAAAAGAGAGATTGGGAGTAGAAGAAGACAAGTTAAAAGAGTAGGTACTGGAGACTAGATGAATAAGAGCGACAAAGAAAAATGTCGGGACAACCGAGAAGTCAGACTAAAATAACGCCTCGAAACGCTCGTATCTTTCATCTACCAGGTTTGCAAGCGAGCTGGTTATTAAACACTTAAATCTTCCTCGATGTATGCATAAAAAAAAAAAACGAAGCCGAAAGCCCGTAGGAACAATAAGCGGGAGAGGAAAAGAAAATGGGAGTTGCGCGAAATAAATTTATGAGGGACAAGCGATCCGCTGTTCCTGCTCCTCTTCAAAAGCGACTGCTACTAAACTAAATATTTATTCCACGATCTTTCATCGACAACGGACTCTTCACGATAAACAAATAGAAATATTTCATTTCATCGGGTTATCGACATCCATTGCCATTGCTGAGTTGAAATATGCCGAGTGCTCGCTGTACTTTCATTTTAATATGCAATCGAGTCTTTGTATTTACACAAGTTAACGCTAAAATTCCAAATACATTTACAAAAGAGCTTGAGAAAAAATTAAAAAACAAGATTTCTTAAAAGAAAATATCAACATATAAATTAAATCTCTTTGAATTAGTAGTTTTTTTTCAAAAAATTTCGTGGAAATAAAAATTGTCAATTTCCGAGTTGAAAGTTTGGTTCGAGATA